GAGATAGGGTTTCTCTGTAGCTTTGGAGCCTGTCCCGGAACTAGCTCTTGTAGACCAGGCTGGTCTCGAACTCACAGAGATCCGCCTGCCTCTGCCTCCTAAGTGCTGAGATTAAAGGCGTGGGCCACCACCGCCCGGCTTTTTTTTTTTTTTTTTAAACGTCTTACTTTCCTTCTTACTCCACAGCTGGCTGGATGATTGGCCCCTGACATCACCCTCTCTTTCTTCTCCTCTTCCTCAGTTCCCCTTCTGTTCATGCTCTCTGAATACCAGCCCCGCCTATCCTTGCTCCTGCCTCGCTATTGGGCGTTCAGCTCTTTGTTAGACCATCAGGTGTTTTAGACAGGCAAAGAATCACAGCTTCACAGAGTTAAACAAATGCAGCATAAACAGAAGTCACACACCTGAAAATAACAGTCCCCAGCAGTTTATAGTGCTTTAGTATGCAAATTACTTTTATTCTTTAATGCTGAGTGAACTCTGAGCCCGTGCACGTCAGGCCAGCGCTCTAGCACGGAACCACACACCAGGCCCTGCACAGAGCTGCTCACAAATATGCCCAGGTGTAACTCTGGGACGTGAACTGAATGCTGACGGCAAATCCCCAAACTTTTATTTGATGCATCTGCCACATGCTCAGCGTGCCACAAAATCTGTTCTGCGTTCCCTACTTGGCGTGGATAAAAACAGAAATCGCTTTTTCAGGGATTTAAGAGCATTCTACTTTTAAAGTTGCCCAGAAATGGGTTTTAAATCCCGAAGCAAAGTACTAGACATCTAAGTGTCACCTTCTCCACAGATCGCTGAGTTGCAATAACAAAAACGAATGAACAAACAAAAGATGGTGGCTTTGGCCTCTGGGGTGTGCATTGTGGAACTCACGTGTGCACAAACCGCACAACACATTTGCGGTGCTGTTGAAACTAATATGGGTCACAAGCAAACACTCTAGACAGCATGAGCATCGGGTTATCTACCTGTCTTCGCCTGCTTTGGAGATGACGCCTGGCTTTGTCCAGAGGCACTGATGGATCTGATGGTGATTCGGTACAAGGTCGCAGCCTTCAGGCCTGTCACAGTGCCCGGGGAACTGGCCACCATGGTCTCAATGACTGTGTCCCCATCTTCAGCTGTGAGCAGGTAACTTGTGGCCCCTGGCACAGCAGTCCACTCTACAGTGATGCTATTGCTGAGTTTTGAATATGCCTGATCAATAGTTGGTATTTCAGGCGCTGAAAGAAGTTATGAAGTTGTGCGTTAGCCAGGATATCCTACAAGGACGACACTTTTTACCTCTTCCTCCCTCGCCTACATTATTCTGGTGTCTTCCCATGAACATAAGCTTTGCTCCATTTTCCAGAGAAAGAAGGAAGCTGGGTGTGGTGGTGCACACCTGTGGTCCAGCTACATAAGAGGTGGAGGCAGGAGGATGAAATTAAGGCCAGTCTGGATAACTTAACAAGACTCTGTCTCAAAATTTAAAATAATGATGATTATGATTATAATAGGTATTAGGATGTAGTTCAGTGGTGGAACACTTGTCTACCATACATTAAGCCCCTGGACCTAATGTCCAATATCACAAAGAAGAAAGAAAAGAAGAGAGGGGCTGATTCAGGGCCCAGAAGGATTGCCAACAAACCTGACTAGTGAGTTTGATCCCTGGGATCCATGTGTTAGAGCTGAGAACTGACATCTCTAATGTAGAGAACTGAGTCTGCTAATCTCTACATGGGCATTGTAACACACAGGTGCACACACCACACAGAGCATGCATGCATACTACATACACGCATATCACACACAGAGAGAGCATGCATACACCACACACACACACACACACAGAGGCATACATACACAGAGGCATGCATACACCACACACACATACATACCACATATACACACACACAGAGGCATGCATACACCACAAACACTCATGCACACACACATGCACACACACACATACCACACAGACAGGCATGTACACCGCATACACACTCATACTACATACACACACAGAGGCGCACATACACATGCACACACAGACATGCACGCATACCACACACACACACTCATACCACATACACACACAGAGACATGCACACACACCACACACAGGAACACACACAAAGACACACCACATACACGCAGGCACACATGCACAAATAAGTAAATGTAATTTAAAAAAAAAAAAAAGAGTAGAAAGAGACAAAGAAAGGGGGGGGGATCTAGGGGGAACAACTGTTTGCAAAAGCCAGCCAGAGCACAGCCGTCACTGGCCAGCTGCCTGGGGGCCACTTGTACTTTCTATGCTTTTAAGTAAGTTGAGTGTGAGTGGAAAGAGGTTGTGGGAAAGAGCTTTGAGAAGGGGCAGAAGATAATGGAGGGGCTTTATTCCAGAGGGTTCCACTCTGGTTTGGTATTCTGTGAGTTTCCAAGGCTGCTTTGTCATGGCTGTCCTTCCCTGCCCCCACACAGGCAGCACTGCTGCCAGCTGGGCCCTCTATGGCCACCTCTCTCTACCTGTGGTCACTTTCTAATGAGTCTGCACATTTCCCAAGTGGGCTCTAACCTAACAGAGGAAGGAGAAGAACCGAGTGCTTTGTTACTCTCGGGCCAGAACAATTTTCAGGTTCTTTATTCTTCCTTTGCCTATCAAGATATATGCCTCAGTGTTAAGTCTTGATACCGAAGCCTTCGGGGGCTGTCTGCAGTTCACCATGGGAATGGGAATGTTTATGTCATGAGCATGCATGCAGGAGAGCCCTCTGCTTCCGATACAGGATGGAACATGCGGTGTGAGACACCCACACCCACACACCCACACCCCCCCACACACACACACTGTCCTGTGTCTTGTAAGAGATCCAAGCAGAAGAGCTCAACAAATGCAAATGTATGTTGGGTCTTAATTCTGAAAGTGGCTCTCCATCTGTCAATGTTAATGTACTCTATTTGTTGAACACAGTCACCCTATGCCAAACTCACAGCTGAAGGGCAAGCCAGACATGGCGGTGCATGCTTATGACCCAGCACTTGGGAGGTTGAGGCAGGAGGATCTCAAGACTGAGGCCCAACTAGGCTACATAGACCCTATCTCAAACAAATAACGAAGCAAACAAACCATCACAACAAACCAAAGCCAGGTACAGCATGCAAGCCTGTAATTCCAGCATGGGAGTGGGTGGTGGTGGGGGTCCAACATAAAGGGTTGGAGGAGGTCAGTCTATGTACAACCCTATCTCAAAAACAGCCACCAAAGAAATCCAAAACCTGTCAATCGGCCAACCAACCTCCCCAAACCAACCATATAAAGAGATTAGGTGAAAACCTACAAGGCAAGAAGACAGAATAAAAGCCCAGTGGTTTGCCAGCATCAACTCTTCTTGGCTTCCCTTCAGTCGAACCCCTAGGTACACAATACAGACAACCTTCTCTTTCTGTCTCTGTAGTCAAGAGAGCTCATGTTGGCAGCCTCTCAGAAATACCCAGGCTGCAAAAATGAACAAAGTCTCCAGTGTTCTTTGGCCAGACACTTCTGGAACACCATCCAGGAGTACCTCTGTCACAGAAAGGAAATGTGCTGCTCATATGTGCTGGGCAAGGGTTGGGGCCTGGGGGCCTTTTGCCAGTGAAGCTGATTCTGCACGAAGAGTGGATGCCCCCTCTGGCCCCTCAGAACAAAAAGACCCAGTAGGGCCCCCCCTCTCCCAGCCCCTATCTCTCATCTGCACGCCCTCCCACCCCACCTCCACGAGTCATTTCCCTGTGGTCTGTGCCTCCTTTCTTCTCAGTTTCTGGTGTCTCTCAACACCTTCTGTTTCCTCTGTCCTCCAGTTTATCTGAGTGCCTGTGACAGATAGGCCTGCTGGTTGGAACAAACTCCCTGGGAAAGTGACCAGCTGCAGACATAGACGGCCCAAGGCTGCACTCTGGGGAAGAGCTCGAAGGCCAGCGTGCACAGATGAGCGTCCCACAGGCGGCCATACTGCCTGAGGACTCCACACTGTCCCCCAGCGAGCTGAGCGATGAAGGAGTCCCCATAGGAAGTGCTATCAGCAGAGTGAGAACCAGGGTCGGAAAAACAGCAAAGAATTTGGACGCAGGAGTTCTAGGTTTAAGGCCTGGCTCTGCTTTGTATTCTGTGTCTGAGTAACCGTGAGACATTTAAGCTCTTTTATTGTAACTTTCCTCCTTTGAGAAAAGTGGGCGACTCACAGTATCTATACTTTAGGAATTACTTGGAAATGTGTAAAATGCCTATAATTTATGATTGTTGTAAAGATTAAATAAAAGTATATGTAAAGGTACTTTGAGAGTGTCATACCCCACTGTGTGTGTGTGTGTGTGTGTGTGTGTCTGTCTGTCTGTCTGTCTGTCTGCCAAGGTAAGCAAGTGTGGATAGGTTTGGAAAAGCCAGATCATACAGTATAGCCATGGGAGGGTTCCAGTGAAAGTAAGATCCTGAGGTGTCTGGGGTGAACACAGGCAGGAGAGAGACAGAGACAGAGACAGAGACAGACAGACAGACAGACAGACAAAGACAGAGAGACAGAGTATGCCTGATTCACAGTTGGCTCTCAGGAGATTAACTAGTGCCAGCCACAAAAGCAAATCAACTGAACCCTCTAGAGCAGCGGTTCTCCGCCTTCCTAATGTCGTGACCTTTAACACAGTTCCTCGGGTTGTGGTGGCCTCAACCATAACATTATTTTCATTGCTACTTCATAACTGTAATTATGCAACTGTTCTGAATCATGATGCAAATGTCTGTGTTTTCTAATAGTCTTAGGCGATCCCTGTGAGTCATTCGACCCCCACCCCAAGGGTCACAACCTGCAGGTTGAGAGCCTGTGCTCTAGGGGATCTAGCAGAATCCCCGTGTTCACGGGGGAATGGCATCGCAGATGCTCTGAATGGCAGCATTTGTGTCTATCATCGCCTGGTGAGCCTGATGTCAGGAGCAAGTGTGACCATCTGCTGTAGTGCACATGAGCCTGGGTGCTCAGTTCTAGTGAGGCAGAATGAGACGGGCAGGGGACCAGACTTTGGGGACATTTTTCTCATGAGAGGGATGGACTGGTAGGTAGATCTTGTGCTATGACAGGTTTCAGCAGACCTTCAAAGAACAGAAGAAGCAAAGCAGCTGTTGAGCCTCTGGGGATGTGGCTCAGATGGTAGAGTGCTCCCCTAGCATGCTGGGATGTGGCTCAGTTGGTAGAGAAGTCACCTAGCATGCTGGGATGTGGCTCAGATGTCAGAGTGCTCCCCTAGCATGCTGGGATGTGGCTCAGATGGTAGAGAGCTTCCCTAGCATGCACAGAGCTTTTGTTTCATCCCCAGCACTCATAAACACAGTGTACGTCTATAATTTAAGCACTTAGGAGGCAGAAGTAGGAGACTGCAAGTTCAAGGTCATCTTTGACTCTGTGGTGCATTTTAGGCTAGTCTGAGGGACATAAGATCTTGCCATAAAATAAAGTAAATGCAGGACTTTGGGAAGATAGAGCCTGAAAAGGGACAGTTGAAGGGGACAAAGCTGATTCCAAGGAAGCAGACACATCTATTGACAGTTTCTCTTTTGAGAACAGAGAGCATCTATTTCTTGACAGTAAGAGGCCTGGAGATGGAATGAAAGCTCTCACACAGGCTAAGCAAGCTTCTATAACCGAGCTTACCACCCTAAGCTAAATGATGATTAAATTCTACTATCATTTAATAATAATATGAGGTTTTTTGTTTTGTGTTCCCCCTCCTCCTTCCCCCTTCTCTCTCTCTCTCTCTCTCTCTCTCTCTCTCTCTCTCTCTCTCTCTCTCTCTCTCTCCCTCCCTCCCTCTCTCTTTTGTTTTTTTGAGACAGGGTTTTTCTGTATAACAGCCCTGACTGACCTGGAACTCACTCTGTAGACAAGGCTGTTCTCCAACTCACAGAGATCCTCCTGCCTCAGCCTCTTGAGTGCTGGGACGAAAGTTGAGTTCACCACAGCCGGCTATTTGTTTTCAAGACAGGGTTTCTCTGTGTAGCCCTGGCTGTCCCTGTCCTGGAACTCACTCTGTAGACCAGGCTAGCCTCCACTCAGAGATCCACCTGCCTGTGCCTCCCAAGTGCTGAGATTAAAGGTGTGAGTTACACTGCCAGGCCCAGCTTTAATGATGTTATATTTATCAGTATTAAAATCTGGGGAAGAATGAGAGAAATAATGAGCCCTATGCTCCCCACTCTCTCAATCCGAGAGAGAGAGAGAGAGAGAGAGAGAGAGAGAGAGAGAGAGAGAGAGAGAGAGCTGAGAAGTAGGCACTTCTCATGTTGATGAAAGGGAAGTCTTAATTCCCTAGGTGTGCATACAGCCACACTGATGCATCCAAAATGAAACCTTTGATTCTCAGCATCTGTGAGTTTGACCAACTCAGAGAATCTAAATTAGCTCAAAGTCCTCAGATCCCAGGTGCAGATCAACAGCACTGCCAAAGCCCAAATAGAATCAAATACACACACCCAAGATGAAGCCTTCTACGCAGTATAAATCAGACACAGTCCGGCTATTGAAAAACCAAGAGGAACCCGTTAACAGCATCACTGGCATTGAAATCTGGTCATCCTGATTTCTCTCCAATGGGACGGGTCATGTTGGGACTGAAAGGAGTCTGTCCTAAGGTCTCATTGGTTCCTGGATCTTTGTAAGGCACAGTGAAGTTGGCTATACAAGGGGCAGATATTTATGTTTTGATCACTTATAAACCAAGCAGAGTAGTGTGTGTGTGTAGTGCCGGCTTCTCAGGTGACTGAGGCAGGATTGCTAAAGCCTGGGAAATCAAAGCCAGGCTGATCAACACAGGGAGGCATCTCAAATGAAGTAAATAAAACCAATAGTAAAAAAATTTACAAAATCATTAGGAATATGATTATACACTCTTTCTCATAGCTTCCTGTACAATCATGAAGGTCTCTCAAGAGTAATATAATAACGATGGGCTGGAGAGATGGCTCAGCAGTGAAGAGCCCTGACTGCTTTGTCAGAGGACTCAGGTTCAATCCCCAGTACTCACACGGTGGTTCACAACCATCTGTAACTCCAGTCCCAGGGGACCCAACATCCTCTTCTGGCTTTGTCGGGCACCATGTATGCATGTTAATACGTGGACACATACATGCAGACAACACACCCACACACATAAACAAATTTAAATTTTTTAAAGAGTAATGTAACGAGTAAAAATAAAGGAAATGATTTTTTAAAAGTCAACTGCATAGCTGGATGTGGTGGTCCACGCCTTTAATCCCAGCACTAGGGAGGCAGAGACAGGCAGATCTCTGAGTTCGAGGGCAGCCTGGTCTACAGAGTGAGTTCCCAGACAGCCAAGACTACACAGAGAAATCCTGTCTGGAGAAAACAAAAGAACAAAAACCAAACAAAACCCACAACTGTATGTGTATGGATTTTATGAGCTATTAAAATGCAGCCATCTATTCAATGTAAAAATTCCTAATTATTCTTCCTTTTTTATGATGTTGGCAAATAATAAAAGTTGTTCCCGTGTGCATTGAATCACTGTGCGAGCTTATCTCTAGGAGAGCTGAGTGCATATGGTGTTTGCAGATAATTTAAAGCCTATTCAAGATAAATTCCTATCCTGTGAACTTAGATTTCTAGATGTATAAGGCATGAAAATTTTCTAGAAAAATTACAGTGGCCTCTGGTCATTTATTCAAGAAAAAAAATAGTGATTGAAATATTTTTTAAATAAGGAAACCTTTTTACAGTTCTGAATCATATTACTGTGTTGATCTCAGGATAAGGCTAGATGTGTGAAGTTTCCTCTCTGTCTCTGTCTCACTCTGGTTTGCTTTTAAGTTTTTTGCTTTTTTGAGACAGAATCTCCTGAACCATATTTTTATGTAGCCAAAGGTAACCTTGAACATCTGAATGTCCTGCCTCCACCTTCTAAATCCTGGGATTACAAGTGTGCACCACCGCACCAGAGCCAGCATTTCTGGTTTTCCCTTCTAATGTCCCAAAGAGAAGTAGGAACGTTCTATAAGGAGATTGTCTGTGGTGCAATTTTAATTTTTGGCTGGATAGTGATCCTTGCAATAGTTTGTCCACAGCTAACTGGATGGGAAATTCGGAGCTGTAGTACAGTTCTCACTAGCAATACCTTCGAAGGACTTGGTTTGTAACTATGGCCCAGGTGATTTGTTCTACTGATTGTGGCCTTCCCCCAGCACCTTTTACAGTGGTGTTGGCACCGGGTATGCATGCTCAGAAAATGTTGATACTCGCCCTCTAGGATGGTCTTTCTGCATGAGGCTAGCCCAATCGACAGTGGAAATTAAAATCAAATGCAGGAAGAAAAAATTTGCATGTCAGAAATTGTTACCTGTTTTGGATGAAGTCACCTGAAAAGGAAAATTTAGAAAGTTAGAAGAATAAGGGAAAACAGCATTTGGGGAAACGAAACACATCGACCGGAACACAGCAATCACAATGCTTATGTACACAGTGAGTAACTCTCCCCTTCACCTGAGAGCTTTTCTGCTGGACTCATTTCCCAGCGATCGGATCTACCATAAGGCACAGCTGAAAATGACGCAGAGGCTGGATACCGTGTTATTATTTCATTTTCCCCTTGAATCTGCCCAAGTCAGAAACTGCTGACGGATTTTTTTTCAGGAGTCTTTGTTCTTCGAACACAATGATAGTCTTGTCTCCTTTCTTTAGTACATCACATTAGTTCTCAAACACAAAAATGTACTGTCTTCGTATGATTTAAAGGTATATCTTCCTACTCCTCAGCCCTTCATAAAGAAAGACAGATGGTATCTTCTCCCGCAAACTTAACTGTAGCTAGCCAAGGAGGCAGACTCACCATTTTCAGACAGAGGAGAGCGAATCCCATCAAAGAGGAACACTTCTCAAGTCTCCCAGCCATCCTGTTAGACACAGCGCTCACATAGCATGAACTGTGACCTGGCTCCTCTTTGGCTCCCAGAAGCACAGCACGGAAGGTCGCAGGGCTGTGGGGCGGGCAACACTGGGAACAGACTCTGGAAGTCTCTCTCTGTGTAGGGCTCACCTGTAATGAGAGACACTGGGGCTTGGCAGGAACAGGTACTGAGTGCAAAGACCGAAAAAAAAGAGTCTGAGGAAGCAATGCCAGGAGGACCAAAGAAGCTCCTGCAACCTTGGTTTCAAGGAACTATGTACAATGCTCTCCTTTTAATAATTTTTACTCTGGTCATAGTAGTGCAAGCCTTTACTCCCAGTACTTGGCAGGCAGAGGCGTGTGGATCTCTGTGAGTTCAAGGCTAGCCTGGTCTACATTGTGAGTTTGAGAACAGCCAGAACCCTGTCTCCAAAAAACAAAAACAAATGTACAGAGCTGTAGAGAAACTGCTGATCCGGTGACTGATTTTAAGCTCAGGATTCCTGTCTCATTTTTCTGCTTTAGTTGATGCTAGTGTGTTTGTTAGATTGTGGATATATTAGTCATCTTTTTGCCATTATGGCCAAAAGACCTGACATAAACAATTTAAGAGTGAGAAGGATAGTTCTGGCTCATGGTCTCAGAGAGATCAGTTTAGCTCCATCTGCTAGGGAAGGCCATTCCGAAGTCCTCAATGACATGGTTTGAGGCCAGCCTGAACGACGTGAGACACTGTCTTAAAACAAACACACAAACACAAACAAAGAAGACTTGGGTCTGCAGAGATGGGTTAGCAGCTGTTGGGGACTGTGGACCACCAGACCCTGAATTTCTTGTAAATAACTTGTTTTCCTCTGCTCCAAGCAGCCTGCAGCTGCTCTGAGCACGAGACCCTGATGGCAGGCTGGTGGGTCTGCAGCTGGTGGGTCCCGAGAGCTGGAGCGTGGCCAGAGCCCTCTATAAGCTGCCCCTGAGCACAATAAAATGGGCATTCTTGGCACTCTTTGTCTCAAGGGTGTCCCCGTGGTCCCGTCTGTCTGTCTGTCTGTCTGTCTGTCTGTCTGTCTCTCTCTCTCTCTCTCTCTCTCTCTCTCTCTCTCTCTCTCTCTCTCTCTCTCTCTCTCTGTGTGTGTGTGTGTTTTTAAATCTTCTGCCTACTTCCCATAGCACAGAGTGTGTAGAGTGCGGAACGGAACCAGTGTAGTTTTACAAGCAGTTAAGAGCACTGGCTTGCTCTTGCAAAGGACCCAGCATCCACATGGCAGCTGACAAAACACCCAAGTTTCAGGGCATTGTGTGTCTCCTTCTGGCTGTGGGCACCAGGCACATGCATGGAGCACACATGCGGGCAAAATATCCATGCACATAATTTGAAATAAATTTTTTTAAAGACTAAAAACACATAACTAAATGGACTCAAGGCAGATGCGAGGGCATTCATTTTTAGTCTCAGCTACTCAGAAGGCAGAAGGATCTATTGAGTCCATGAGTTTGAGACCAGCCTGGGAAACATAGTCGGACTGAGTTCCCCCAAAATTATTACGCTATTAATCAAAGTAGACTCAAAACCCAAAAAACATATCAGAAACGACAAAATGTGTAGAAGGAAATATTTATGATCTTGAGTTGGGCAAAGATTTTCTTTTTTAAAAATGTGTGTGTGTGAGCACAGGTGTGTACTACCCTCAACACCCGATAAGAGAACAACTGAGGGCTGGTGGGCTGGCTCGGCAGTTAGAGCCTCATGTCTGACTGCCAGAGTTTGATCTCCAGCACCCGTGTAACGGTGAGAGAAGCAAAGCAGCTCCACAAAGCTGTTGTCCGGTTGCCACGCATAGGCCATGGCAAGCATGGCGTCCAGGTTGCTTTCTATTGTTGTACTAAACACCATGATCAAAGGTAACTGGGGAGGCGAGGGTTTATCTGGCTTACAGTCCCACACAACTGTGTCTCATCAAGGAAGGCCAAGACAGAAACCTGGAGGCAGGAACTGAAGCAGGGACCACGAGGAAGCAATTCTTATTGACTTGTTCCACATGGCTTGCTCAGTCTGCTTTCGTTTTTATTTATTTTTTCTTTTTTGGGACAAGGTTTCTCTGTGTAGCCTTGGGTGTCCTGGAACTCACAGAGATCAGCCTGCTTCTGCCTCCTGAGTGATGGGATTAAAGGCATGCGCCACTGCCTGCTCATCTATTTCTTGTTTTGTTCTTGTTGGTTTGTTGTTGTTGTTGTTGTTGTTTTCCGAGACGAGACAGGGTTTCTCTGTAGCTTTGGAGCCTGTCCTGGAAGCATCCTATGTCTTATACCGTCCATGAACACCTGCCCATCGGTGACACTGCCCACAGGGGACCGGGTCCTTCCACATCAATAATTAATCAAGAAAATACCCCATAGCTTTGTTCTGACTGCCCCTGGAGAGGTGAGTGTCTGTGTTCCCTGCTGGAGGGCCCTGCTCTTTAGACCCTAGTCCCCAGAGTTTACATCCCATGCCCCACCCCCATCCAGCGAAGCCCCAGAGACCTGGGAGCAACCCTCCACACTTGCAATCATCCCCAGCTGCATCTCTGACCTCTGGAGCATTGGTTCTGACTATCCCTGGAGAGGTGAATGGCTGGATTTACAGCTGGAGGGTCCTGCATCCTAGGCCCTAGTCCATGGAGGAACATTCTGTGCCCCACCCCCCCAACCACCAAATCCCAGAGACCCCAGAGCAGCCACCTCACACACCTGCAACCGTCCCCCACTGCACCTACTACCACCCTTACCTTGGCCCTGACTGCACCTGGAGAGGAGCCCCCAGAGCCATACCAGCGACTACCAGAAGCTCAGCGTGGCCTGCAGGAGAAGGAAGAGTGACCACCTAAGACACAGGCCCCACCTGTACCAATTGGAGGAAGAGATGGGCAGGTACCGATGCAAGAATACGGTCATCACCCTAAAGAACAATATGGCAACACCTGAACCTAGTGATCCTATAACAAGAAGACCTGAACATCCTAACCCAGAAGAAGCAGAAGAAAATGACCTTAAATATATTTACACAATGGAGTACTACTCAGCATTAAAAAAAAAAAAAAGACATCTTGAAATTTGCATGCAAACGGATGGAACTAGAAAAAAACATCCTGAGGTAAGCCAGGCCCAGAAAGGCAAACACAATATGTACTCACTCATAAGTGGACATTAGATGTCAAGCAAAGGATAACCACCCTGTAGTCCACAACCCCAGAGAATCTAGGTAACAAGGAGAACCCTAAGAGACATGGATCCCTCTGGGAAGGGGAAATAGACAGGATCTCCTGAGAAACTTGGAAGTGGGGGGGTGGAAGGAAAAGGGAAGGGGACGGGGGAGGGAGGAGGAGAACATGAGGGAACGGGATGGTTGAGATGGGGGAAGGACAGAGAGGGAGAGCAAGGAAAGAGATATCTTGATTGAGGGAGCCATTATGAGGCTAGCGAGAAACCTGGTACTAGGGAAATTCCCAGGAATCCACAGGATAACCCCAGCTAAGACCCTAAGCAATAGTGCAGAGGGTGCCTGAACTGACCTTCCCCTGTAATCAGATTGATGACTACCCCAAATGTTATCACAGAACCTCATCCAGTAACTGATGGAAGCAGATGCAGAGATCCACAGCTAAGCACTGGGCCGAGCTTCTGGAGACCAGCTGAAGAGAGGGAGGAGCAAGAATAGGAGCAAAGCAGTGAAGACCATGCTGGGGACACCCACAGAAGCAACTGACCTGAGCTAGGGGGAGCTCACTGACTCTAGACTGATAGTGGGGGAACCAGCACAGGACCAAACGAGGCCCTTTGAATGTGGGTGACACTTGTATGGCTGGAGCAGTCTGTGAGGCCATGGAAAATGGGACCAGGGTTTATTTCCTAGTTCTTAAACTGGCTTTTGGAGACCATCCATTTTGGAGGGATACCTTGCTCAGTCTAAATATAGTGAGGAGGGCTTTGGTCCTGCCTTAAAGTGATGTGTCAGACTTTGTTGACTCCCCATGGGAAACCTTACCCTCTCTGAGGAGTGCATGGGGGGGGGGGACAGAAAGAGGCGAGAGAGTAGGAACTGGGATAGGTATGTAAAATGACAAAAGACCATTTTTTTAAAAATAAATAATAAATTAAAATTGAAAGGAAGTAAAAAGGAAGGAAGGAAGGAAAGAAGGAAGAAAAACCCTTAGACTCGCCTTTAGGCCAATCTCGAGGTTTCCTAGTTGACCAAAAAAAAAAAACAACAAACAAACAAACAAAAAAAAACCACAACCAGCACACATGCCCACACATTACATAATATACACATATATTTTAAGTAAATAATTTAAATAAAAAGTAGTGATGTATATGCTTGAATACACCTGTAATTCCACACAGGAGGATCATGAAATCGAAACCAGCTTGGGCCACACAGCAACACTATCAGGACAATGAAACAGCACTACATACTTATTAGATATCTGCAATCAGAAAGATTAAACCGTGGCGGTCGCTCAATAAAAGAGCATGTGTCTGGAGGCCCTGGATTTGATCTCTAGTCTAACAAGTATTCACAAAGCAAAATTAATAAGACTACTTCTAGTATTGGTTCAGGTGTAGAGCAACCAGCCATCTTGTTGTGGAATTCTGTCTCCCAGGCAAGACATGGCTGCCTCCATGTTGACCTCAGAGCAGCTGTGAACACTTGCACAGAGACCCTCAGAAGACTGAGCCCACCAATGTTCCCTTGTGGGGGAGGGCAGGGTTTCCCAAGGCTCAGAAGGTGGTACATGAGACGCTGCCCCTCTCGGAGGATACATAAGGAGTTCACAACTGCTTGGTGGAGACTCTTTGTTGTGTAGCTGCCATAAATTGCCCATGTTCCTGTAAGTCACCCTTAACCCACACTTTTGTTAAGTTGCCCCCAGGTAAAGCTATGGCTTCATCAAGCTGGACCAGGGTGAAATTGTCTTTTATTCCACCTGGGGCGAATTGTGTTCACGGTGTTGGTTCGCCTCCCCGGGAAAGGCTACCGCAACACTTGTATTGGTAGGCGTGCGAAATGGTTTGGCCACCTTGGAAAATGATTTGGCTGTTTCTTAAAAAGGTGAACAA